CATTAGAATTACAACAAATGTCTCAACAAGATTCAGATACAGACGAAATAGACTTTGATGAATTAATGAAAATTAATTCATCATTAGATATCCCTGAATCATCAGAAGCCAAAATAATACATCTTCCTTCTGTCAACCTAATAGACAAAATAGTAATTCAAAAATAGTTTGTCTATGTCAAAATAATTGTTGCTCAAGATTATAGTTTTGAAACATCAGCTTTAATAGATTCTGGAGCTGACTTAAATTGTATCAATGAAGGACTCGTACCTTCAAAATATTTTGACAAAACTACTCAACTATTGAATACAGCAGATGGAAGTAGATTATTTATCAAATACAAATTATCTAATGCTTCTGTTTGCAATAATCACCAATGTATAGATACACCATTCATAATGGTAAAAGGATTAAGCCAAGCAGTAATACTTGGAGTTCCATTCTTTACTTTGTTATATCCTTTAACCATAAATGAAATAGGAATATCTTCAGTTACTCAAAATACTCCAATACATTTTAACTTTATACATAAACCAAAAGTAAAAGAACTCAATAGTGTCAAAAGTCAATTAAATAACAAAGAAAAATTTCTTTGTACTCTTAAACAGGAAATTAAATACAAGGCTATTGAAGAACAATTACAAACTTCTTCAATACAACAAAAAATTCAAGCATTACAACAACATATTGAAACCTCAATATGTAGTGAGCACCCTAATGCTTTTTGGGAAAAGAAAAAGCATAGTATAAGTTTACTATATGAACAAGGATTTGATGAAAAACAAATACCTACAAAAGCTAGACCAATACAAATGAATACTATCTTATTAGATATGTGCCGAAAATAGATTGATGATCTCCAAAAGAAAAAACTAATAAGACCAAGCTCCTCACCTTGGAGCTGTGCAGCCTTTTATGTCAAAGGAATTGATTTTGCTGTATTTTTTGTAATATTAATAAATTGAGTAATGACAGCTCTTTTTTCATTTGGATCAACAATTTTATCAATAATATCTAGAATGAAATTATCTTCCTGTGTAAGTGTGTGAACATTATGTGTTGATATTGGACAACTACAATCATCATTTTTTGAACTGGATGAATTTGTATCTGAATCATTAGTGGAGTCAGAGGAGTCTGTCCACATAAGATCATCATCTTGGATTTGATCGATATGAGAATCAGAAGAAGTAGAAGATGAAGAATCATAATCGAATATTGTATATAATTTAGTTTTTATTGATTCATCTAAATTTAAGGATTCTATTTTCTTTTTTAATTTACACTGATGTTTATAATGTCCTACTTTACCACACTTATAGCATATGGGTAACTTTCTCTTTTTCTTTGTATTTGGAGAAAATTTATTGATTAATTTCCTTTTAGATTTTTTATAATATTTTTTATCTTTATTCTTATTTTTGGCTTTATATTTTTCTTTTTTATATTTCTTCTTTTTCTTATATAGATTATCAGGCATATTTTTCTTATCAAGGCAATAGCCAAATTGTTCACAAAAGTCACCAAGCTCTTTTCTCTTAGTGATCTTTTGTTTATCTAATTGTCTTTTTAACTTCATATCTGTGCATAGGGCTAAACCTTCAGCACATATTTCTGCGGAGAGTTCTTCGCGTGTATATGATGAATAGACAATAATTCCATTATGTTTTTTCCTTAATCTTTCCTTAACCTTTTCAGCAAATAAATATGGTAGACCAGCTATAAACTTTTCTTTCCAGTGGTCTAGCTGACAATCTTCTCTTATTAATAATCTTGAGAAAAATACATCTTTATATCACTTATAATGAGATAGGGTAGGACAGCGTAGATTAGATAGCAGATCTTCCGATCTTGCTGCTAGTAAAGCTGGACTACCTACAAAATGAATTATTCCATGGTAAAGAAAGAACTCTTAGCAATTGTTCATTGTGTTTCAAAATTCCAAAGTGATATTTTAAACCAACATTTTCTTATACGAACTGACTGCAAAGTAGCCAAGGATATTCTGCAAAAAGATGTTCAAAATTTAGTTTCTAAACAAATATTTGCTCTATGGCAGGCTATCTTATCTGCTTTTGATTTTTCTATCGAACACCTTCCCGGGTCTTCCAATTCATTACCTGATTTTTTAACCCGTGAATTTTTGCAGGGGGGCAACACTGACACAAATCTAAAGCAAGGTTAGGATAGAAATCACTAACATAATTCAAACATCCTAGAAACCTTTGAAGTTCCTTTTTATCAAGTATTTGATCAGGAAATTTATCAGCGAATTGTATGGATCTGTCTATAGAAATGATATATATATATATATATATATATATGCAAAAATCTTCCCAATGCCTATAGTTGAAATGACCAGTGATTTTGCCTACCCTCATTACCGTTCAAAGTTCATCGCACGGTCACAATTGTCTGGTAGTATTTAATTTTTAATATTTTTTCTACAAATGGGAATGAACTAAAATTTAGAGCATGTATACATCTTAGTGAGGCACACCAAATAAAAATATATAAAAAAATACTTTGTAAAAAATATTGACTAAAATACCCCTAAAAATGTTTTGGGGTATTTTTGATCAAATTTTTCTT